TGGAAATAAACTGCAATTGTTAATAAAGATCTTGGATGTGAGACCTGAAATTATAAAATATATGGAAGAAAACATAGGCAAAACACTTCAAGGGTCCTCCATGGTGGCCTTGGGGTTAAGTCTCAGAGCTATCACATCTGTGGTCTGAGTTTGACGTCTGGTCAGGGAGCTGACCCACAGATGGTGCAACAGTCCTGTCCTGTCTCACCCACTTCTCCTGTTAACAGCATATTTCAGTAGATCTGCCTGTTCTGCTACCCACTCTGACTCTGATGAATTCTCCCACCACCACTCCCTACCCCTGCACCTCTGGCCTAAACCACAGTTGTTCCAGTTGTTCTACACAAAGCAATACTACTACTAATAATAAACTTCATGACATAAACTTCTGAGACATCTTTGCAGAATAATCTTCAAAATCTGGAAAACAAAGGAGAATATAAATAATTGAGACTATACCAAACAAAAAAGTCTGTACAGTAAGGGAGACTAACCAAAACAAATTAACACCCTACTGAATTGAAGGAAATGTTGACACATCATACATCTGATAAGGGACTGATATCAAAGCTCATACAATTCAACAAACAAAATAAACAACCCAATAAAAAAAAAAGTGCCACTTCTCCAAAGAAGATAATGCAGTTCATAACAGGCATAAAAAAACAAAAAAACAAAAAACAAAAAACAAAAAAACTGTTCCTTATCACTTAGCATCAGGGAAATGCAAATTAAAAACACAAGCTACCACATTACACTGGGGTAAGAATGAACCATACATATATACATATATATATATATATATATACATATGTACACACACACACACAACAGCAACAACAAACAATTACTGGTGAAATGCAGAGAAAAAGGAACCTTTAGATTGCTGTTGGGAATGTAGATTGGTCTGGGCCCTATGGGAAAAATATGTACCCAAGGAACACGAAAACGCCACTTTCAGAGAAAACATGTATGCCTATGTTTATAACATTGCTATTCACAATAGCCAAGAAATGGAAACAAACTTAGTGTCCTAGATGGATGAGTGAATCAAGAAGATTTTGTGTATATTTACAATAGAATATTACTCGGCCATTAAAAAAGATAAACTCATGTCACTGTGGCAGCATGGGTGGAACTGGAAGGGATTATCCTAAAAGAAATGAGCCAGAAATAGAAAGACAAACACTGGATGATTTCACTTTTATATGGAATATAGTGCAAATAAATAAAGGGTCAGAAGAGACAAACTTTAAAGCCAGTCCTCCAAAGTGAACCATAAATCTGAGCCCCCTGAGTGAGTAAGAAGAGGGGTGGGAGAAAGAAGGAAGGAACTAAAAAGAAAGGAGATGAGCCCCACCAACTAAGGTGGAGGATTATGGGTAATTCATGGTGGGAGAACTGATTATCACACCTGAGAGAGAAATTCTTTATTGTTCAAAAAATGAACAAAGATTTAAAACAATGATAGTTCAATAAAGTATATATTTAAAATAAAATAAAATTAGTAACAGGCTAATAATGGCTGAGATTGCCTCCGTGCTATACTAAATCGCTTAGTGGTTTGAAAGAAGGTAAAATAGGTTTCATATCATTTTGTAATCAGTGTTTGCAGGTCTACCAGTGTGTTTTTCCACAACTACTTACCCTAATTATTGCTAATAGCTCCAGTGTGGTTTTAACCACAAAGTTGACACACTTTGAGGCCATCCATGGAAAATAGAAAGCAAATAAGAGCCTCTTTACCATGCAGTCAAAAGCAAGATGATTTGATTTTAACCTTCTTGAGTGTAATGTTTCTTTTCATTTAAAAAAAATTGTTTTCTGCCATACTCATGCCTTATTTTAGAATTTCAGTGATTAGCAAACGTTGAATTGACCTGGATAAATTGAACAAATGTTTGAAAATGAGAAGATTAAGAGAATATCATTTTTTTTCCATTTGGAAATGATGGTGCTAACTTTTATTGGTAAATGTTCACTCTGAGGTTAAGCACTGAGCTCATTGCTATATGTACATTACCTTTGACGGGTGTCCTAAAAAGACACTGCTATGGTCAACCACATTTTAACAATGGAGATGATTCAGCTGGAATTGCAGAGGGAGGCAATAGATGCGATGATATGAGAGGCAACTACTTTCGTCATTCATGAGCAAAATGTGTTTGAACAACTGTAAAGCATCTGTTTCATATTTGAAAGGAGTTTGGTAAATTTCAAACACTGATTAGTAACTGTTGGGGGAGTTATCCCCACTGTGTTATAATTACTGTGATCAATGTCCTAAAGCAGTGAAAAAGACATTGGAATTGTTAGATATGGGTTCAGTTTTCAGTTTCCCACCTCACAACTCTGTGAAGAAAGAGGAAGATTCAGCCTTCCTAGGTGCCAGTAGTTGGTTCTGTAAAATGGGGCCAGTATTATACATATTAGGTTGTTGTAGAGACCAGATGAAGCAATTTGTATAAAATATAAAAAATATACGATGCAGTTCCCATTGCAGATAGTTCAAAGTATGAACTAGAATCTCAAAAAGCCTTACATTATTTTAAATCATATAAAGAGAAATAAAATACAGACATAATGAAATCTCACCCCAATGCAAGTAGTATAGATCCCAACTGAGACCTGAGACTCAAGGAGTTAAATAGCATGCTACAGTCATGCAGTTAGTAAGTTGATGAGCTGAGGTTTAAAAACCACATCTTCCTGACTTCGCAAGCTATGCTTTTTCCATAGCACCGGATTGGCTTTAAAATATAAAATAAGCTAACACACACACTTTTTCTTAACATTTAAAAAAAAATGATATTCAGAAGTAACTCATTCTTATAAATTTCATTAAGAATTTATCATCTAGCTTCTGTCTCCATTTCCTTTAATGAAATATAGTAAACATAATTTGAGCATGGCTTAACTGAAGTGTCCAAATGGGATAAAATTGATCACTTAGGAAGTTAGATTTTGAAAATTACAAAAACTAAATTGTACTGAATGGCCACAATTTTTTGAAAGGAAAACTTGAGGAAACAATTGACTACTCCATCATTATTTCTCTAATGAGATATCTATAGTATGGGGTGATTAAAGTAAAAAATAATATGAACTTCACTGCAAGAAGTAGTGAAGAGCATCTCTGTCTTCATGGGTTTGGGGTTTATAAAAAAATACCCATTTTCATCCAGAAATTCCACTCCTAATGGGCACAAAAGCATTCATTTGAAAGAATATATTCATTCCTGTGTTCACTGCAGCACTATTTAACTATTTATAATACCAAGGTGTGGAGTAGGCTAAGAATATGGGTACACACACACACACACACACACACATTCATAGTACTTGGTAATACAAAAGATAAACTCTTGCTATTTATACAACATGGATGAAATTAGAGGAAAGTATGCCAAGTGACATAATCCAGAATGACAAAGACAAATACAAGATTATGGGATGGGTGGAAAGACAAGGTGAGAGAAAGTACAGGGGTTTATGGTGCAAGGTTAAGAGTGACATGTTGGGGGTTCAGTGTAGTAACATAACGCCTGAAAAGGTGGGATACAGAGTTATACCGCTTTGAGATACACTTCTGCATTGTTTTTAAAAGGTTCAGTTATTGTTTTAAAGGTTCAGTTATTGTTTTAGAAAGAGCTAAGTTTTTTTTTTTTCTTAAAAGGAGCTTAGAGAATTTGTTAGTCCTGTGGCTTTTGAAGGAAATGGTTCTGAGACAACATCATGGCTGAAACAGAATCTCCAGTCAAGGTGAATGTAGCAATTAAATTTGTCACTGAGCCATCAAACAGGAGGAATGCTCTTGTTTCAAAACGTAAACATTTTTAAATGAGTGTGGTGTTGGGCATGATTAAGACAGGGATGGATATAAGAGTGTACTTGAAGGTGGAGGTGTTGATTTTAACACTGTAGGAAAACTTCTGGAGTGCAGAACATGCTCTGACAAGTAACTTAAACATTTTTGCCTTTGAAACATAGTGTATATATAAGTGGTAGTTAAATTCATAGACTTTGGATTCCTACCGTCTGGTATAAATACTAGCTCTGGCACTTCCTAATTTTATTGTTTTAGGCTTTGGCATTCTATTTTCTCATTTGAAAATTACAAATAATTATGCTTCATAGGGGTGGTATGATAATTCAGAAAAACCATCAGTAAACATTGTCAGTGTTATTATTGTTTGGGTGTGGTATGACTTTCTTGGCATATAAAGTTTCCCAGGACCTTATGAAGCAATTATCATGAATGACAGCAACTTCACAGCTGTCCTTTACAGCCCAATAGGTCATGAAATGGTGTACAAGACATTTATAAAGCATCATGTCAGGTATTTTTTAAAAGAGATATTAAAAGTGTTCGCGAAATGAAAAGGTCATAAAACCAAAACTTCTAGTAAACAATCATCAGTCTATACATATTTTCAAAATTGCACCAATTTGCACTCATCACGGGGGAGAACATATTGATTTGTGTGTATTTCAAGTAACCATTTTAGGTACGCTGTGCCCACCATGGACAGCATCCTCCCCTGGGATGGTGGCTTCTGTAATTGCAGTGAATGGCCATTCTATTTGTAGATGTTATTTCCTATAGCATGCAATCTTTCTGTGATTATTATTTTAAAAACTTATCCTCAAATTAGTTAGTGTTGTAGGCTGTAAAGGAAAACATTCTACAGCACAGGACCTCACAAATAATGAGTTGAAAATAGATACTGTTTTATCAACAAAGTAATCTGTTTATTGCAACATAGGTAATAGGAGAAGCACTTCTGTAATACTAAAAACCTTCAAACAACCATTTAGTACAGAAAAAAAAAGAAAGAAAGAAAAAGAAAGAGAGAATGTAAAAGAAAAAAAAATTAAAGAAAACCAAAAGAACTAGTCATTTGGACTGCTGAGGCATTTTTTTCTCCTCCACACTATTTCTTGCTTATAAACAAAGCACAATTTCACATCAATAGCAAATCAACAGCAAGAGGACTTACCTTCTTTCAACCAAGAAATGTTATTTTTATCATTTTCAATATGCTCAGCTGTTCTTACTTTTATCTTCTCCAGCTCAGTTTCTGACATCTAAGTAGAAACAGAATTGCTGATATAAAAAATTCATTAAGAACCCAAATTTATAACATTGAGTTTTATATTTAGAGACAACTGCCATATTATAGGAAAATTTTATCTTTATAGTTTTCAGTTCACTGTCTAATGTTAAATGCTATATGTTATCCATTTGTAGTATCTTATAATTTTGTCACTGAAACTTTACATGCTTCATTTTTTCAATAAAAGTGCTATAAGATCTTATAATTTGTGAATATAAAGAATACCAGATTAACAACTAGCCACCGATTTGTAAAAGACATAAAACTGCTGCTTTCATGGTTTTTATAGTCTATAGAAAAGCATGCTACAAAGTGATTTTCAAAAGTATAAATACTCATGAAACACTAAAAAATCTTTTCAGTAATTTACTGGGTTGAATGAGACGCTAATGACCTAAGCCAGACCTGGTAGAGCTCCTGTAGGTGTGGAGACCTATCCTGCACCCCGTGTACTGCGCTTGACATTCAAGGCCTGCCCCCAACGGGCTAGGATGCTCCATTTGAACTAGCACCTCAGTACACTCACCTGTGTGTTCCAGATAGAGGAGCCCCAAGGTGTGGGGCAGGGGAGCAGCCTGGCAATGCCTTGGGCAAGCTTCCTGTTGTCTCTCAATGTCCAGCATTCCTCTTCACTGCCAGAAGTGAGCGAAGAAGCAAATACACTCCCTGCCTGGGTGGTGCTAGCTTTGTATTGCTGCCAGATGCATCCAACTTGCGGCTGAGAGGTTTCTTTCTTTCTTTTTTTTTTAAGGTAATATAAATCCTGTGGTTCAAAAACAATAAAATCTTCTACAAGCTAGCACTTATTTAGAATGATACTCTGCAAAACAGGGTGAAAATAATGAAGTCTTCCCAAATCGACAGAGTTTCTCCAGTCCCCCCTTTTTTTTTCCACACCTGCCATTCATCACTTTGGACTAATATTAAAGCATGAAGAAAAAACATATTGAGAACCAGGCTACTTGGATTAAAGGAAAAGGAAGAGGAATATTTAAACTTTTATTTTCTAGAAATTTGCCCTACCATTAATATTTTGAAAAGCAAGTTTTTCTAACTTTTGCAGGCTACAAGAAAAATATTTCCAGTTCTTCTGAGTTTCCAGTTATGACAAAAAGGATTTGGAGCAACATTCCAAAGAGGATTTGTCATTAAATTATTTAGTCAAAGATAATACTGTTCCTCCAGAAAGTTAAAAACACACACACAGAGAAAAACCATAACCCTTCAATATGCATTTTGATAAACAGGCCAACATTCCTAAATGTTGTCATTTATTTTTATTTTTATTTCACAATGGAAAATTGGTTAATTTGCTTCCTCTGCTGTTCTTACCTGATCAACTGGCTGTTTCCACCTTATATCCATTTCATATTCTAATCCAACTTCATTTCTCCTTTTACTTCAGTTCCAATTTCATTGTCTTTAGAAACTTACTCCATCAGCCAATTTTCTACCAAAACTTGTCAGTATCTCCCATTATTAGAAGGAAACATTTCAGATTCCCAAGGCTGATAAGAAAAACCTTGGATGATTAGATACTACAATGTAATTTTCAAACTGGGACCCAAAGTGTGAGGGTTTTTTTTTTTTTTTTTTTGACATGCTGAATTTTTCACTACACACAAAAACTATAATGCTGCTAGTCTTTATACTTACTGCTTTGGTTATTAGAAATTCCAGAAATATTTTCTCAAAATATTCTCATCACACCCATTTGAAGCCAGCTTGTTCTTTTTTATTTGGATATTATCTGTCTTCTCTGATTCCACTTCAAACTCACACTATAATCATTTCTCTATTGTATTAAGTTCCTAGCAAGAATAAAAACTCCTGAAGGACTCAGTCTCTATCTCAGTATTTTGTGCATCTTTCTGTGTTTGACATAATCACCCATAGATTAATGATGATGGCATAATTAAGCAAACCCATCAAAAACTGATAGAGCTTTCTTTTATCCCAAAGTTGTAGGATGCACCTGATTACAAAGTTCCTTGAAGTTATCTCTTTTCTTTGGTTAATAGAATTTTATGTCCCTTCCTTATACATTTGGAGACCTAAACTAATTCAGGAATATTCCTTTAGAAAAGCAAATTATTGTAATATGATATATTACTGGGGGCAAAAGAACATTTGGTAAGTAATAATGATTTTAAAGCAATAAACATAGGAGCCAAAAGATCTAAGGTGCAGATATACTGATGAGAAGAGACAGTCAAGTACCCAGCAGAGAATGAATGTGTGACTGGCACATTTGGGCCAGATGTGTGTATGTGTATGTGTATGTGTATGTGTATGTGTATATGTATGTATTAGGGCCAGATTTGTAATAGATTTGTAATCTATATGTGTGTGTATACTTTATATATATATATATATATATATATATGCACACACACACACATGCACACACAGATGTATATGTATATATATAGAGAGAGAGAAAGTAAGTTTTAGTTTATTCAGAACTTTGTAAAGTTTTACAATGGATTTTGATGTACAAATAACTTACAAATCATATAGCTTTCTCTCCATGCAGTTTCTCAGAGAACCCATCCTTATTCTGCAGCCTACAATACATTGAGGCTCAAGACGAAGCCTTTTTTCCTACTAAACTATTATCTAATTATCTGTCCAAAGAACATGAAATTACTTACGTTTTGTCTGCATTTCTTGCTTTGCAGATTATGTATTATTCTTAGTTATGGCTTTTATTTCATTTTTCTTGACATATATTTTTTCTATTTGTTTAACTTTAGCAATTATTTGAGGTCAGTACTAAATAATCTGCAAACTTTAAAATCCTTTTGCAAAATTTGTTCTGAGGAGGGAATATTTATGAAGGTAGAATAGTTACTAATTTGGAAATATTATCCAGTTTTAGCTGAAATAATTTTAACATATCCTAATATTTGGAATTTCTCTTTTTACTTTATCATTTTTCTTAGTTTAGCTTCTCACTGTTCTTTGAACTTGCCCTTTAAATTGATGTTTGTCTTTAAGGGTGTAGGATATTATTTTATACAAATAAAAATATTTCTTAAAAGATTTATTTATTTATGTATACAAGAACTGGGATGTAGGCCAGAGGTGTGGGAGGTTGGGGGGAGGGTACTGAGAGGATTTACGAGAGACAGAGTCGGGGCAGAACAGGCAGATTTACTAAAATACACTGCTGAGGGGAGCAGCAAAGGAGATTGAAAAGATCTGCTGTGCCATGTGGGTTGGCTCCTTGGCTGAGCTAGAATCGAATAATGCTGCAGTGACTGGGGACAGCTTCATAGCACTTCCTTTAACCCCTGTGCCACCAAGAAGGCCCTAAAAAATTAATTCTGAGTTTAGCCACATCTTTGTGAATATTCACAATAATTCTTTATGAAAGTTGTAAATGGTAGTTATTAAATTTTTCCATCTGTTTTATAAGAGGTGATAATAACAGGCATTGAGTAATTTTTCTTGAATCAACTAAATGACACCATTACTATTAGTATATTGAGGGTACACCATTCTCATGCTTGCTATTGAACCATTTATTTATCCACTGATAGATGGACGTTCCCACAGAAGTCTCCATCTGAGTGAGATATTCTAGTTTGGCAGGGATTTTTATCTGTTATATGACATTGGGCCTTGGAATGAATGAGATAAGCCCATGTTGATGCGAGGAAGTAAAATGAACCCAAGTGTGATGTATCCAGGGCGACCTGGAATACAGTAGATGGCCCAAAATGAGACTCACAAGAAGCCCCAAGATTCAGATTATCTGTGGAGAACATGTAATATTTGGGGATCCTCCCTGGTGACATAGGGGTTAAGTTTCAATACTATCACCACTGGAGCCTAGTTCGATCCCCAGCCAGGGAGGTGACCCCTCTTGTTTCACCTGCTGCTCCCTTGAGCAGTGTATGTCAGTAGACCTGCCTGTTCTGCTCCCCACCGTCTCTAGTGAATCCTCTCACCTTACCCATGTCCACACATTGATCTGCACCCCAGTTCTTCTGCACAAAAATAAATGAGAAATTCAACATTTTAAAAAGAATCCTCAGTCCAAATAATGTCCATTGTGTACATTTAAATTTATAAGTAAGGGCCCTCCCTGATGGCGCAGCAGGTTAAAGCACAGCAATAAGAAGCTAAAGCCACTTCAGAATGCGTTCGCTCCTGGCTCTGGAGGTGACCCACATGGCACAGCAGACCTCTCCTGACCCGCACACTGCTTCTCTCAGCAGTGTATGTCAGTAGACATGTGTGTTCTACTCCCCATTCTGTCTCTGGTAAATCCTCTCACTGCCCCTGCACTGCTGGCCTGTACCCCAGTTCTGTATGCATAAATAAATAAATCTTAAAAAAAAATGATAAGTCAAATATTCAGATCCAGAGATTTCAACATTCAAGTTTTCTTGTTATTATTTTTTTCTTTTTCTGTATGTTATTATTATTTTTTTTCTTTTTCTGTATGGAGATTTTTTTATAACAGTTTATTTTTACATCATTTTGTACTTTTTTTTTTCCATCTCAATTGTAATCCCCACGGATTTCCCATCACCAAGTCACCCATGTGCCATCACCATAAACCCATGAACTTCCCTCCCCACCCTCCCCGTTTTTGATCCTATTCCCCACAAAATGTCTCTGGTATATGGTTGTTCATTATTCTTGTTATTTTCTCGCCTGGTCCATTATACTCCTGCTATGAGTGAAACCATCCGGTATTTTTCTTTCTCTTTCTGGCTTATCTCACTAAGCTTGATCTTTTCCAGCTCCATCCAAGTTGCTACAAAAGACATGTGCTTCTCTTTTTTGGTTGCTGAGTAATATTCCATTGTATATATGTACCACATCTTTTTTATCCAGTCATCCACTTTTGGGCATTTGGGCTGCTTCCATGTTTTTCCAATTGTAAATAAAGCAGCAATAAACATGGGGGTACAGGTATCTTTTTTAATCAGTGTTTTCGTGTCTTTTGGGCAGATACCTAGGAGTGGGATTGCTGGGTCGTAGGGAAGCTCCATGTTTAGCAGTTTGAGGAACCTCCAGTTTTCTATAGTGGTTGTACTAGTTTGCATTTGCCGCGCCAGCACGACAGCAGAGATGGTCTGAGCGAAGGACGTCAGGATTAAAGCACACACTCCTTGGTCAGCAAACAAAGGCACACTTTATTCTTCTCTCCTTCCCTATTTATACCCTTCAGCATGGAGCCTGGGGCTGGGGGTAGGCGGAAGCTCTCAGCAAGTGCATCAATAACATGCAATAACATGGGGGTCAAAGAACACAAGGTAGCAAACACAAGGCAGGAACACTTCCTGCCTCCTGTTTTTCTGTTCCAGCATGGCTCATTCTTTGTTTCCACACAACAGTGTGCATATGATTCTGTGGGGGAGGTGGGGAGGTCTGTCCAGGCAAAGGACCCAACAGCATTCCCAACAGCAGTGCATGAGAGTTCCCTTTTCTCCACATCCTCGCCAACATTTGTTGTTGCTAGTTGTTTGAAGATGTGCCATTTTCACTGGGGTGTGGTGGTATCTCATGGTGGTTTTAATTTGCATCTCCTTTATTGCGAGTAATGTTGAACATTTTTTCATATGCTTGTTGGCCATCTGCATTTCCTCTTTGGAGAAGTGTCTTTTTAGCTCTTCTGCCCATTTTTTGATGGGGTTGTTTACTTTATTTTTGTTGAGTTTCATCAGTTCTCTGTATATTTTTGTGATCAGTCCTTTATCACTACTTTTGTGTGAGATGTATGGAGATATTTTGATATGCCTATGTCACAACTGTAATCCTTTTATTTTTATGTACGTATCATAATTTTGAGCTCCTACTCAAAGCCCTGTCTGGACTCTTTAAGAACAAACTATCCAACAGAAGGCAATCTTTGCCAAGAGAAAACTCTGCAATAATGTTTCACATTTTTGTCTTGTTAAAATAAAATTGAATGTAGGAAGCTGGAGCCTTCTATAAGAAACAAATAATTGTGTGCTATCCTACTTGGGATTCTGGTTGCCTTGAAAATAAATCATCATATTGTCACTTGCTGTTTTTTGTGAACAATGAAATTATATGTATAAAGTAGCAATATAATATTAATCAATGTATAAAGAAGTCACTAACTCAGACTATTGGGTTTGACAACTATAATTTATAGAATAGAACTCTGTGAACTATTACTGCATTCAAGCCAATGAAAAGATACAGGAAGGTGTAGTCTTCTTTTGAAGGCATGTTTTCTGCTACAGAATGGGATCTTAATATAGCTTAATACAAGTAATTACGTATTTTCAATAGTTATTTTAATGACCAATACATGCCGTTAAATATACAACATTTAAAAATACATCTTTGGGTAACAAAAACAAACTCTAGAAATACCG